GGACAATCTTTTTTAATAAAAAATAAACGTGAGATGCTTTTAGATTTGTTGTGCTTGAATGTGTTATGTTTGTAAATGTTTAATTATTTAGAATTTGTTTTTTTACGTCAACGAACATTCTCACTTTTCCTTTAAAAAAAAATTAATAAAGCAATAAAACATCCCAAACAGATTATAAAATATGATTGAATTGGGTTATTAAATCGTAAATGTACTTAAAAACCTTTTTATCTCCGTTTTGTCCTCTTCGAGACTAGTACTACTGGGTATTATTGGGACATCGAGAACGGTCCCCACTGATGCCCAGGAAGACCTATGTCTACATCGAGGTAGAAGCCAAAATTCATAAGCTCCATAACCTACTCACATAAAATGAAGCATTTAAAGCTTCCGGAGGAGCTGCAGGTATAATAGAAATGATAAAGGTTGAGTGCGTATGTTGTTTAAAAAGTTGGATCTTACTCTGAGTTTGTTGTTTTCAACGATCCGAATTTCACGTTTAAAGCCCATCATTATGTTGAAAGATATACAGCCAATCTTACAATTCATGTCGAGAGACAAGGTTGTAAATCCTTCGACCTGATGATGAGTTTTAAGGTTGAAATCCGGATCGATAAAACAATGAACTGTGAGTAAGATTCATTTAAAAAAATGATTCTATAGGTGTAAGTACTATATAGGTATAAGATTTAGGGTATGCCTGTAAATTCCTTGCACACTGGGAGACTGGGATCCCTGAAAAACTAAATTTGGGAAACAGTTGGCTCCACCGAGCATGAGGTCAGGGGAGACTAACGAAATAAATCAAATACAAGAATTAAGTTAATCTTTAACGAATATAACGCTGTATTTTAAGGAGAAACTGTGGCCATTAACAGATGAGCTAAGAATAGTCATCTGCTCGGAAAGCTAAGCAGCACTGAAAGAAACTTCTTCATAGATAGTAAAGTCCACAGCCTCTGTCAGACATAGAGAAAACTAAAATATTACCTTTGTTCTGGGACGGGGTTTACTCTGAGAAACCTAAATGAAAGTCCTGCACCAAAATATTTGTGACAGCCAACTCAATTGTAATGATTGTGATATTAAATATATAGGACAAAGCGGTAGAGAAATAAAAACAAGAGAAAAAGAACACTTGCCTAAATTGAGCAAATTTTCGGAATTTAAGGACCATCTAAAAGAAACAAAACATAATTTCAATTCAAATCTAAATACAAGAGTGTTACATAGTTTCAACAAAGGGAAAGAATTAGATTGGTTTAAGAAATTTGAAATTAAAAAATGTAAAATTGAACATGGCGATAAATGCATTAATAATATAACAGATGTTGATCTACTTCCCATTTTAAATATGTACATAAATAATATCAAACATCCAAATAATTAAACTAATTATTTTAATTGTTATTATTTTTATAGTAATTTAATAATGTTAAGTATTTACTAGTATAATATTTATTTGTGTTATAATTTCAGCGTTTCGCACGTTCAAATTGAGCGCTATTAGAAAAATCAGCTGCTAATTGGAACGTCGCGTTGGCGGAGGTATCAGCGGGTTCACTTTGGCAATTCAAGTCGAGAGACGTGGTTGTAGAAGTCCTTCAACCTGATGATGAGCTAAAAGGCTCGAAATCCGGATCGTTGCAAAAACCTTACTGTGAGTAGGAACTATCTTTTTAAAAAGGATTGAACACCACACTCACTCCATCATTTATCATTTCTATTAAAATATTTGTGTTATATGTTATGAGGCCTCGTTAGCACAAAGGCGTCCGACATTTTTTAAAATGTGTGCTGTTTAGTGACCGTTAGTTAATGATTATTCGGAGATCGTGAGATGCTCTCTGGTTTGACGTAGGTTTTAGAAAAATATTTTATTCATCGTGCCAACGTTTCGATCTTTATTGAGATCATCTTCAGGGCTCAAAGTGTTTGTTTTCCGTGTAGATATGTCATTCTTTTCTGTCGTGTTATGAGTGCCCAATACAGATCGAAACGTTCACATGACAAAGAAAATATTTTTCTAAAACCTACGTCACACCAGACCGCATCTCACGATCCCCGAATCATCATCTATTAAAATGAACTAATTGTTTCGTACAAATGTCATGATAACTGTAATTTTGTCAACTTGGAATTCAGCCCCAACTTACTGATGCGACAAATGATGGAAGGTTCTTAGGTAATTATGGCGCGCGACGGTCTTTTCGATCACAACTTCAAAAAAAGTGATTATGCAGAGCAAAGCTAGATGATAATTAACAGTATTCTTTTATTTCGTATATCTTTTATGATTTTATTCATCTCTTTATTTTCCAGAGACTAGTACACCTTCATTTGTTTATGGGTGGGTGTCGTCTATCTGAAGGACACAGAAAAATTGATTTTTTTAAATATTACGTTTTAAAGTGCCATCTGTTTTTTCTTCAATATATGGTCAATCTTCGCACCAAACAATTTTCAGCATATTTTAACCATTTTATATATTTTCGGGTGCGAAAAAAAAGAAGAATGTGTGAAGGCGAAGTGAAAATAGCTTCGGAACTGCATGGAATGGCGTGGAAGCCCTTACCGCTCGTTTTTACCGGTCTTGTGGGGAATTTAGTAGTTCCATTAAAGTAGCGCCGAGAACACACCCTAATAACTGCCCAGCTCTCCCTCACATACATACCTTGATTATACCAAACCCACCTGATTGCACCTCTCGTGTACCACCCACTTTTTTATATAAAAAAAGAAGCGCTTGCTATTTAAATAATGAAAGAAAATATTTACACGGGTATGTTTTTCAACTAAAAAGTAAAACTATTCAAAAGTTTTTACTTTTTACTCAACTACCATAAGTTAATAAAAATAAATAAATATTAATAAAAATACTAAACTTATTTTTAAACATAAATCGAATTATTCAATGCCTATTTTTGCAATCAATTAAAATTTTAAAAATGGTTTAAAAGACATCACACAGTATTGAAAATTATGAAATGTCAAATCGCTGTCACAAACCACTTACTACAGATCTAGAATACCAAATATTTTTTCGATTTTTATTAGCATTATGAGTTCGCATATTAGCCAGAGAAACTTCCGTGATACTGACTTTTAAGTTTGGGGATGGAAAAGGAGCATGGAAGAAAATTCTAGTGGTGACGGTGGAAATCGAACCCAAGATTGCTGGACGTTGTCTACACCCCAGAGTGTAACATGCTAATCACAAGGTACCGTGGTGCCGTAAGCAATAAAAATTGTCTGAACCGACCAAAATACGGGCAAACCAAATGGGAAAATCTAACAAATTTAACAGCCTGAATAAATGCGTTCAATTGTGGGGTTTCCTATGGTTTGCGCGTTGAACGAGCAATTTGATCCATTCTGGTATGATTATTAACGCTATTTTAATGCTTTACATTTGTTTTGACATTTCACCCTTCTCAGTAATGAGATCGTAAAATTTTCGTTCGATCAGTGGTTTTTTTATGCTCGTGAAAGATCAAAGGGATATGTTGGTGTTAACTCGGTATACTGGCGTCTTTAACGGATTAGATCTTTTTTGTTTGTTAGCATTTAGGTTAGCCATTGTAATCGTCGATTTTTTTATTATTTAATTGGTCTTTTTTATATAAAAGAAACATGAAATGGATTTTGCTTTGTGTAGGTTGAATGTGTCTATTTTTAATTATTTATGATTTGTTTTTGTTTTTTACAACAGTTGCGTTTTCCAATCAACTCCCATTTTTCCTTTAAAAAGTTTATCTTATAAAAAAACTAAAATATACCAAACAGACTATGAAACACGATTAAATTGAATTATTAAATCGTAAGGGTGCCTAAAACTCATTTATTATTTTCTCTTCTTCGATAAATGCCACATTAAAAATATTTTTAGAACTTTTCTTTAATAAAGTAGGTCTTTTTACCCTTATACTAGAATGGACAAGAGATATCCGAACGTTAGAAAACTGTGTTTATCAAGAAATGTGTCTAGTTGTTAATTAAAAACAACGTCAAACAATAATTAGAAGATTGTTAGTTATAGAAAGTCAATATTTACAAAAAAAAATTCCATGTTTAATTTTACAAAAAGATAACTATTATTTAATTCTAAACCTTAAAAAATATTATCTATAGGTATTAATTTGTATAGAACGAGCCAAACAGTTCGAAATTTCGAATAGTAACTTCTTGTAAAGATAATAGATTGTATGATAGCTCGTTTAATTTGGCTGCGTGTCAATGATGAAGTTTCGTATCGCCTCTCTAATCCTTTTGAAGCCATGATGAATGGCCTAAATTGACTGACTGACCCGATATGGCAATAATTAGAAAACCGATATCAAAATGAAAACTTTAAACAAAAATTGTATAACTGAAAGGAATTTCGTACTTGCTCATTTATAAAAAATGAGGAAGATATTGAAGATAGGAAAATAGGAAAATATTGTGAGCGTTTGATTTATTTGACTGGTTTTATTTGTAAATGTGATAATTTGACTTCATTGAAATCAATACATGAAATTGCTTCTTACATTAGTGAGGAAAAGATTAATTGAACTCAAAAAAGAAAATATGAAAGAGGAGGATTTTTTAAGTAAATAAATCTCTTCTAGTTTTTGTTGCATTTCCATCACTAGATTGAATATGAAGAAATAACTAACTACTTCAACCATTTAAATAACTGAATTAAATCGTTCAAACAGTTTATTTTTTCTTTGTCCGAATCAATCAATAGTTATTTTAATGAAACATAACATTGTAGATTTAATAAATAAAAAAATTGTTTATTTTGAACTTTTTTGGATTTTCGATTGAGATAAAACTAGATGTTCAATCAATTAAAATACATATAAAAATTTCAGTGAATGTTGATTTCGATTTTTGCATATATTAATTTATAAAAAATTTATTTTAGTAGAGTATAGTAAAGAATTATTGGTAGATGCATATTATTTAGAAGTAAAAAGTTTTTGGTTAAATAGAATAAAATCATGTGACAAAGTAGATTACAAAATTTATGATTGGCACTCGCATATTTTCTCCGCTTTTGGCAAAACCATTAAATCATGGATATATAATTGAACCCTAACTCTACCGAAATAGACTTGCCCTTAATGCAACTCGCCGCTAACCCTAACCCTAACCCTACCCTAACCGAAACCAGCCTAACCTAAACCAACCCATGCGCACTCGGTCTAACGCGAAATCGATATCTCAAAACTACTCATCACATCAAACAAATTGTGTATGCGGCGCAAAACTATAACCATGTCAAAATTCATTAAAAAGGTTCGTTTGAATTTTTTAAAAATTAGAACTACATTTTTGCAGTAATTTTCTTCCCTTAACTGATGTTGACTGATGTTATGCAAGATAACTAGGATACAGGATAAAGGAGGTAAATTAGAATGTAAAGAATTACAGTTAAATTGAATAGATAAATTTTTAATTCAAATGTTGTTCGAAAGATGGTTGAAAGTTTCTGAAATTCGTGTAAAAGTTTTATATTAAATGAACTGCTGTAATAATATAACAAAACACAAAATAATTTGTTTTTTTGAGATACATAACATAATTTGAACAATATGTAAATAGTTGACGGATATTTTAGCCAATCTAACGAATTAAATATATAATCTTCAAAAAGTAGTTATATCTTATTTAGGTTCGTTACAAAAGAAATTTTGCGTTTATTTTGGATGTTTCTGGTTCACTGGATTATTCTCAGGATGTCAGAATAAATCGTGATATGTTAAAACAAGTGAAGTCGCAAAGTTAAAAAAAAGCTAATCCAAGCTTGTGCGTCCTGGTAATCTACTTTGATCACCTTTCACCGGTATCTCCATTGTCCAGTTTTGCATCCCTTTTTGGCTTCCGTTTAACTTACATTATTCATAATCCGCTCCCAGTTTTTCTGTTTTAAGCTTCTATTATTTTAACAGAAGAATACCTTTTATTTTATTTGTTCAGTCCCAAGGCGAAATATATCTATTGGTTTGAATGTAGTCCTCAATATAATTTTATGTTTAACTTTTGAATATAGCTACTACTGATTTTAGCTCTTAAACAACTCCCCGTCCCGACCGTTGATGTACTACAATGCGATCATTTCTCAGATAAAATAAATTTTTTATTTGTGTTCCTACCTTCCAGCAAACCTACATAACATATTATTTTATCACTTATACAAGGTGTAACCTAGTGCAAATATTATTTCACCTATGGAAACAAAGGACAGAGAATTGAAGCTCCTATGAGGTTCATTGATGTTTTAGTGTAACCTTAAACAAACAAAATACAAGAAATTAGAAATTCAGTAGATGTGTTTATAACTCATTAGTAGGGACAACATTTCTGTTACCGCCATATCTGACGGTAGTCAAAGAATAAATAAAATTTTACTTAAACTTTAGACAAGAGCTTCAGAACATCGTAAAACTTTGTATTCTAAGTGATTTTATATTTTGTTTGTCTAAAGTTATAACAAAAATAATAAATGAAACTCGTAGAATTTTTAATGGACCTTTTATTGCTGTAATCAAATTTACAGTAAATTTAAAACATTATGAGATAAGAGAGACTTTATGAAATAAAGTTGTGAAATCGAATTAACCTTAAATCTTATCTCGAAAACAATTAAGAATCAGACATTACACAATTGAGACTTTTAGTTCAATCTCCTCAAGTACTGTCGTATGTTCACAGGACACCATTTGTAAAAGATTTGTAACATTTTTTTAAAGAGTTTTCATTAAAGGAAAGTATTACCGAAAAAACCACTTGGCCCTAGAATATGTTATTATGTAAATTTTAACTGGCTATTAAAATTCAAATCGGCTCAACGGTAAGTGAAGCACTCTGATATTTATCTTTCGTAAACAATTGTATGTTCTTTATAAATTGAATATTTTAGGTTTAAAAATCCATTCTTCCCACTTTATTATTTGAAAAATCAGAACTTGTGAAGTATGATGAAATTTTAGTAAATTGTTGAATAGAGTTTTTACCATTTACCATGGTTTTTGTTGCTAAAGCAACTCAGTAAAAGAATGGCTATTTTAAAGGATTGTACCCGGCCACATAGGGATAGCCGGGAACGAAGCAGCAGACAGGGCGGCCAAAGAAGCAGCCAGAGGACCCCACGACGCTTCCGAACAAATACGCTTAGCGGATCTCAAGTTATTAATTTCAAATACATTAAAAGAAGAATGGAAAAACCGCTGGGCTCGGCAAAATAGGAATAACCCTGCCAAACTGTGGCAGGTTAAGAAAGACGTCGGTCCCTGGTTCACGGAAAATGGGTCAAAAAGGGAAAAGGTCATACTGACAAGACTACGCATAGGTCATACAAGGATTACACACGGGCACCTTCTAGCAGGAAAGCGACCTCAAAGGTGCCCATTATGCAAAGATAGAGTAACAGTCGAGCACCTTTTCAATTGTAGAAGGCTCGACGTTTATAGGCAATATTTTGGAATATCGTCGGACCTGTGCGTAGTCTTGGGGCACGGCAGCGGGCACAAATCGCTGTACCGGTACCTCAGGGCTATAGGGATCTTCAAATGTATATAGTTTATGTGTGTTTGTTCTGTGCTTGTGTTGTGTCTGAAGTGTTTGTGTCGTGTTTGTGTGGTGTTTATGTTATTACATTAGGATGAACGTAATTTATTTGCGTGAAAGGAAGGGGTTATTTACCCCGCCCCGAGGAATATCGAGTACTCTGGGGTGAGTGTGTGATGTCTGGGGAGCAAAAGTAAGTTATTAGCGCGAATGGAGTGGGTTCGGCCCCGCCCCGAGGAATATCGAGTACTCTGGGGGAGTGAATGTGACCAGACTTTTATGTTAGTATTGTATGTTGTTTATATTTTACTCTGTTGGAATGAATGTAATTTAAGCATGAAAGGAAGGGGTTATTTACCCCGCCCCGAGGAATATCGAGTACTCTGGGGGAGTGAATGTGACCAGACTTCTATGTTTGTGGCGATATATATGTTATGTATTGTATGTTGTGTATCTATTCTTAAATTGACAACCTGAGGTACTAACAAGAGGCTAGCTTTTTAAAATAACGACGTAATATACAAGTAAAAGCAGAGAGTCAGTAACCAGATCGAGATGCTCAAATGGCTGCAGTTCAATACAAAATACGCGAGAAAGACAGGAAAGAGAAGGAATACATGCGGAGGGCCGGCGATGACCTCAGCTGTTTGTCGGCCCATAAACCTTCCACTTTATATATAAAGGATTGTACCAACCAATCGTTAATGAGAACAAAATTTATTCCGGCAATAATTTACCCTTAGGTTTACAAGTAAAATTTTAATATTATGCAGCTACAAGAAGGCTTGGGTAAGTAGGGTTCTAAGCAGTATTTAAAAGTTAAATATACCAGCTATCTGGGCACGGATCTCAATCTCCATCTAGCTCTGGAGGACGCATCTGTACCACCGCACAAAATAAGAGCACTTTTTTTTGTTTAATACATTTTGTTAATATATTAAGGGCTATCTATTTGATGTTTAAATACAATAGAATTGAATTGCTCGAATCATACATTTAAGGGAGATAATTGTTCAAACAAATTAAATTTTACGATTTGGAGTCTGCCGAGGTTTGGAACGATTAGCGGTTACCAACAGTTCAAAATCGATTTTTCTTGTTCGTCAATGAAAATTTAGATCTCTTTTCAAATACCTTTTTAGTAGATCCATATATTCATATGTTTAGATATTTACTTTTGAGAAAGTAAATTCCAGAATTTCAAAGTCGTTTGTCGAATTGTACAAGGTATTTTGTACGGTTCTCAACGAGAATACTATATAAATGATTATTTGGAGGTAGTAAGATGCGGTCTGGTGTGATAGGTTTTATAAAAACATATTCTTTATCGTGCCAACGTTTCGATCTTTACTGAGATCATCTTCAGGGCCAAGGATGTAAATTATACAAATAAATGTAGGATGTGAAAAAAAATGAATTTATACAATGCTAGAAATTTTAGATTCAATCAAAGTATTTGTACTCACTCAAAGTGTTTGTTTTCTGTGTAGATTTGTCATTCTTGTCTACCGAGTTGAGAGCGCCAGTGAGATTTTGATGTTTTATATTTATATACGTTGGATTTTGAAAGGGTGGATGTCGGGATAAAAGGATATTTTTATATGAGAAATCGGCTTCTTTGAGGTGAAAGGAGCCGACAGTGGGAAAAATGGGTAATGGTTCGGCATGATTATCCTTTCAGGATTATATAGACGGGGATAATGGTAAGGAAAGCCAAATTGTTGAAAAATTATAAATCAGAAGAGAGAAATGTGTTGTTTTACATCCTAAATGTATTTGTTTAATTTAAACAAGGTCCTGAAGTTGATCTCAATCAAGATAGAAAACGTTGGCAGATGTTTTTCTAAAACCACGCCACACCAGACCTTCATCTCACGATCTCCAAATAATCATTAACTGACGGTCACTAAACACCACACATTACTATATATAGGATAATAAAAATATAGAAAAGGTAGTGATTTTTAGGGTAAAAATACTTGGCCGTAATTTCATCCAAGTTAATCTTACATTGGTCGAGCCAGGATTCGAGTGTGTGTAAGTGATATCGTAAATTGCGTGAAGTTGTAAGGGAATCTTTATCGGAGGCGAGTATTGATTCGCAATCGGTTAAAGTAAAAGTGAAAGCGTTAGGTTGAATGGGTAAATCAGCCGTGTGTAGAGAAGAGATAGGAATACACTACGCTAAGGGACAACAGTGTAATGAAAAAGAACGCGAACCAGCAATAGAAAGAAAGAGATTGAATTTAAAAAAAGAAAGAGATGAAATGCAAAGATACACCGAGAAAGAAAATTAAATGGACAGATTTGAAAGACATTTTTAAAATAAATAATAATGTGTGAAAAAGCATTAAAATATGTTTTTTAACTTCAAATTCGTAGGTGGGCGAGTGAGTGGTGACCAAATAATTTATTCTTTTTGATTGAGTTTTATTTGCGTCCAGGTTTTCAAGTATTATTCTACTTTCATTTGCTTTTCTTACTAATTTTAGTTTTTATTAAATAACATTTTAAAATCATTCTGTTAATACAATGATACTGTTCAGTAAATTGTTTTTTCAAGAATTGAAATCAATTTAAATAATCAATTTTTTTGATTTTGGTTACAATTATAATTGTTTCTAAACATCCTTTAACTTTATTTTTTATAAAGGAAGGGTTTACTATTATCGCCGGTGGAATTCAAATCGTATAAAAATTTCTTGACCTCGTTAGAAAAATATTATCTTAAGCGCACAAGATCGTCAAATACGATTACCGCCTGTCTTTTAAAAAGGGCGAAAATGTCCGAGTGTCGTGCCCTGATTCTCCGAAGTTAAATAGAGCCATAGAATTTTGTTTGGAGGAAGGAATCACGCGATGTAACCATCATCAGCCAGGCACCTCTGCCCACGCAGGTCTTCACGGAAATTTCAGAAGAGCTGACACCCCCGCAATTAAACAGTACACTTAATTAAGTCTTGTTTTTTTACACATTTTCAGTTAAACTCTGTTCCCAAGACACGTCGGTTTATGTCCGATCCGATAAACTGTACAGGAAGTGTTTAGCTACAATCTCCTGTCTCTCCAGCCTTATCTAGAACATAAATTTACTAACTTAACATATCATTGGGAGTCTACTAAGCAATTATTAATAAAAATCAACTGTTACGTTTTCATAATTTATAAACAAATAAGTAATAATTACAAAAATATTTCAAAGGTGTACAATTTATACTAGCATTTATTAATTCAATTTTGTTTAGTGGTCTAATTGACCAAATTACTTATTTTAATTAATTATTCTTTTTATGTAAGGTCTTGGTTGAGATGAAAAAGTTGGTACCACGAACAGCGGCGTATTGGGCCAAAGGTCGTGGGTTCGAATCCCGCACGTGGCATTAACTTTTTCATCTCAACCAAGACCTTATATAAAAAGAATAATTAATTGAAATTACCATGTATGTTTGTTTATGACAAAACAGAAACATAAATTTCAGATGCCATTTTAGTGCTTTAGTGAAGTATACTTCATTTAAATTCATTAAATGCACTAATTTCGTGGTCCGCTTTACCAATTAATATATTACAATTAATTAAGGTTTTAGTTGAGATAAAAAAGTTAAAGCTCTCCGTGGCCATTTCATTTGTCGCCGAGAATCCAATCCGTTTACACGACATTTGAAAAATGGCAAAAAGGAGGGAAAATTCAAAAGGTGGTGGAATAGTGGGAAATAGTGAGAATAGTTAGGATGGGACGTTGGTGTCCGAGTGGATCGAAGTCACGATAGCTCAAGTGGTAGAGCAGCGGCGTATCAAGCCGAAAATCGTGGGTTCTAATCCCGCTCGTTCCATTGACTTTTTTATCCCAACTAAAAACCTTAATTAATTGTAATCAAGAAAAAAGTTTTATTATGTACATGCAATGATTATGTATGCCTAGATTGTAAAGATTTGTTTAGCGAATTGAGACATTGGTTCAAAAAATATTAACAGAGGAGTTAGTAGTAGTGTAAGTGAGAGATGTCATTGGTGAAGTTTTGCCATAGTTAGCATTGTGGTGTGGAACATAGAAGGTCCTAAGCTGTCTAAGCTGATAAGGACTAGTGGAGAAGTTAATACTACTTGGAAGTTGAGGACAATCCATGCATGAATTTATAATTTTAAAGAGTTAGCAAGTCGAAATGTAATGTTTTATTGTTTAATGGGATTAAGTTTAACTGTGATTGAAACTGGGTATAATCGGGAAGGTGTACTCACAGCTTAAAGGCAACTACTCTTAAACATTTATTTTGTCCTCTCTGAAGTTTCTGATTTGCAGGAACAGTGTGCGAGTTCCAGACTGGAGAATAATATTCAAGCGGAGATCTCACCATAGATGAATATAATAGTCATGGAATTTGCTGAATATCGTAATATAAAGCCTAGCGCTTTTAAACCCATGGATTTTATTTTATCAATTCAATTAATGGTTGCAGCAACATCATTTGTGATGGTATTTAAGGAAAAATAGGAGCTGTTTACGTTATAATTGAAACTGATACAAAGGTTAGTTCTACAGAAACTCATTTCGCAGCATTTTTCAACATGTAGTATCAAATTGTATTGTTTGCAATGAACCATAGATGAACAGAATTTAAGTCGAAATGACCAGTTGGCAATCCTGTTTAGATTTATTTGTTCTTAATATGTTTAATTTGTCCGCAAAAGGGATTGGAATGGAATGACATATAACAGGAGGGAGATCGTTAATAAAATAAATGAAAATAAAATTTTATAATATACAACAGGCCTCTTTTGTTGTCTTTGTGTGTATTTCAGCTGTAGAAGAAGCTTCACAAAAAAATTCTCAAAAATATTACCACAGACTCAGATCTTTAATATTGATTTAATAAATACCCTTTGGGTTCCTGGAGTTCTACGCCCAAAATTCAATCAGATCCGCCAATTTTTCAGATACTGACGTGAGAAAGAATCATGCCGCCACGCCGTCACGGAACATATTCTTAACTAGGGTTTTGGGGAGGATAAAAAAACTATTAGATTCTTCAAAACGGCCTTTTGTGGAGGGGCAATAATCGATAATTGCGCTTTTAACGTCACGTAAGGAGCACACAATTGTTATTAATGAGAAAAAAGTTTATTGCCAGAAAATAGTTTAAATGTTTAAAAGGGCATCATTTTTAGCGTACTGTTTGTTAATGAAGTTTTGTTAAACAATAAAAGTTCTGTGAAATCACCCTCCTTCAAATTTTTAATTATTCTTTAATATTACAACGTATATGATGATATAATAACAAACTAGAGAAACGTTCCGATCACCGTCAGAATTATTAATTTAGAATTTAGATAGTCTGTTCGTACGATTTTCAAGCGTAATGTTAGAAGTTTAAAAAACAGAATAAATTTTAAAATTAGTAATAATAAAAATGAGGAAATATAAAAAAATCAGTGATAGCTCATCAACAAGACGTTAAGGACAAATAAGTACATCTCTTTATAATGTTTCACGGTGAAGGTTTAAAGTAAAATAAAATTAAGTTGGAGAAAATTAATTAAAACAAAATAGACACTTCTTGTTCTTAGTAATATATCGGGAATAATATTTAAAATATATCAGTTAAAAAAACTCGTTCGACAAATGTTTGAGAGCACTTGGGAGGCTTAAATCCGTCTTTATAACAGGTAGATCACGTTTATTTGAAATTAGAAAGTACCAATTTGAATGCTTGGTTGCTGCCTCATCTTTATATAAACTGAAGTATGGTCACTTGAGCACTTCAACGATATAGGCAAGTTATATATTTGAAGCAACTTAACCACCTGCTCACAAATACGCATAATCATTTCTGAAAATCGAATGTTGATTCCAATACTGTGCAATTGCTTAAAAGAAGCTTAAATAAATGTATAAAAGTGTCGTTTTTGGAAAAATGGTTTTGTCATGGCCAGTGATAAAGGGGGGAAATGTTATGACAGGGGTTGCGCCGAGGTTTTTGGTCTCAATGACCATTTTGTCCTGCAGAGGGTCAGTAACCTTGTTACTCAGAATTCTATATGACAATTTCTTTAGGCTCTTTACTTTTCCCTTTTGCTTGTTGAATGCAGGACAGATCTGGATTGGGTATCGTCTTTGATACCCCCATCTTTTTTTTTCCAGGAACCAATATCGCTGTCCCATTTGCTCTTTCTGTTTCTTCTTTTTTTGTACTCCGGCTTAAATGGCTGCAGTTTTTCTTTTTCCGCGCTGCTCTCTCCACCACCAATGGGGACCGAAGGTGGTTGTGCACTCGACGTCATCGGCATTTCGCCTTCAGGATCTACGGCGTTTGATTTCAAATTTTTAGGAGCTATTTTTATTTCAAGTCAAAAGACAGTTACCCTCTTCCGATCCAAGCCGATTAGTGGGGCTGACACTAAAGTTGAATCTGCACACCCCCTCCCTAAACCCAGGGAGCCGGCGACAGGAAAAGGTTAGTGTATGAAAAGGGTTGTTACGGGAATAAAATGTGAGGTATGGATTAGTAACGGGCTGGAGAGTTAAGGAAGGCCACCAGATACGGGAGAGGTGTATGGTCGCAGTTTACCTTCTTGCTAGGGAGGAAAAGGGATGTAATTCTTGGAACGCTGGATGTAGTATCAGAGTGTTTTTTTTTTTAATTGGTTTCATCCCTGGCCATTTTTTCATGCTTTAATTATGATATACTTTTAAAACCTATTCGTCTTTTTTAATCTATAACGTTATTTGCACAAGCTTCAAAATTGTGTCGAAAGAGTTTCTTATTAAGTAATATAATAGCGTAGGGAATCTAGTTAGTTATAGTACACACTCTACAGATTTTTGAAATTATTAACATAAAACACTAAATTATTAAATTTACTGGCTTAATTATAGGTTCATCGTTATATTTTTGTTTTTTGTTAATAATTATTTAGAGCAACTGTACAACAAGCACATCGCATAATCGACGTTATTTCCACATCCCTTGAGCTAAAACAGTATTGCCTGGGTGTGTTCTTGGATATACACCAAGGCTTTAACCGAGTATGGCACTCTGGGCTGCTGTGGAAGCTCAAGAACATCCTACCAGCAACCTATTACCTTATCCTAAAATCCTATCTTAACGATCGTTACTTCCAAGTATCCCACAAAAATTCATTGTCTCCTATCCATCCTATTCTTGCAGGTATCCCACAGGGCAGCGTGCTCGCTCCTTTCCTTTATTAAATTTATACCTCCGACCTACCTACGCAACCTAACACTATCACTTTCAACTTTGCCGATGGTACCGCAATCCTTTCTCCTGATAAAGAGCCTGTCACTGCTTCCCGTAATCTTCAAAATCACCTAAACACCCTAGAATGCTGGCTCCGTCGGTGGAGAATCAAGATCAACGAAACCAAATCAACGAACATAATATTTACTCTAAACAAGAAAACACTCCCACCAGTATACCTCACCAACGTTCCCATCCCAATTGCGAACCATGTACAATACCTCGGACTCTATCAGGACAAACGACTGACGTGGAACCCCCATAACACGACTTAAGCGCACAGACTGTAATATACGATTTTTCATACTTAAACGACTACTCGACAGACGATCAAAACTCTCACTAACAAACAAAAGAAAACTTTACATTGCCCTCCATACGGACTTGAACTTTACGGTACTGCTAAGCGTTCCAACCTCAATCGAATTCAATCCCTTCAATCTAAAATCCTGAGAACAATAGTACAAGCCGCTTTCTATGTATCCAATCACACCATCCATTCCGACCTAAATGTCCCTTTTGTTACCGAGCTAGCCCAATCCCGCTACAAAACGTTCCATTCCAAACTACTCCACCATCCGAACCCTTTCGTCAAAAACCTGTCATCCACCACATTACCTAATAATCCCAACAGAAGACTGAAGAGTCGGTGGCCCCGCGACAACCTTAACAATTGACATCGATCTCCTACGATGGAGTACATCTCGCTCATCGTATTGATTAACTAACGGCTACCATCACTGGATGGTAATTGTTCAAGCTTTCACGCTACCGTTAATAATTTTATATGTAAATACTATCTGTTTTATTTGTTGCATCGAAGAATGCAGTTGTAAAAAACAAATAAAAAGTTAAAAAATAATTATTTTGAGCAGCCATTTATCCAACGTTGGTCTTAATAAATAACGATGGGTGGGGCGAATATCGTTTTTAATCTCTAATGGTTATCGGTAATGATAAAACTGCTCTTTTATAAAAAAGCATTGAACAAGTTGGTTCGTCTGTAGTACAAATTAACATAGTAAACCTAAGAATGGAGCGTGATGAAAAATTTGACATTTTAAGTTCACAGAAGTAAAGTTTCTTAATATTGTCAAACTTTACGGACGAAAGAAGTTGGTAACCTTATCTTTGAAATAAAGTTTACTCCGCCGGCAAATAATAGCTCCTAATTTTTGACTACAGAGCTGAAGCAACTTTAATTATTTTTGTAAAATTCTAAATAAAAGTGTACCGTAATTGTGTCCATCATTAGTATTTCATATTTTACAAGTTCCGGTAATTGTTGTCAGTATTTCAAAAGATGTGATGAAGAGTGTATCATGATTAAGGTCCCTATAAATGAATAACATGCAAGATAATACCGGCTCACAGAGATCGCGTGCACGACACAATTTCGTCTCATTTTCATAGCGACCATTATGGCGTCTACCCCATTTTATGTGTTAATTTTTGTGTTCTTTGCCCTATTTTTACCAGCCCGACAGGAAATCGAAGGAGTCGTTTTTGATTACAGGTTCGATAGCGGCCTATACCTCTTCCTGGATTTGATTATTTCTATTTCAGTTTAGTACTCAAGGAAACGCAGGTCTGGAAACAAATTGAGCATAAAACCCCTTCACGCGCGCAAACAGTCTTTCGCTCAGCAGAAAAGTCGGGTTCATCGGTGAAAGGGCGAAAGAAGGCGTGCACGTAATTTTCGGCTTCGTTACCCAGGCCGGCAAAACAGGTCATTGACTCAACTACTCCATATTTATGTCTTAATGACGTGCTTATGCTACAGTTCCTAAATCAAAGTGCTTTAAATATGAAGCGTTAACGTACTGCGTTTAAAATTAAATTAAAATCTTTTAAGTTTATGAAAATGAAAAATTTTAAATAAAATTTATACGTTGTTTATACAAAAAAAAAAGAATCATTTTCAAAGTACTAGTAATACAAAAGTTGCTATATCGACTTGGTGAAAAATTTAAATTTTTAAAATAATACATTAACCGAAGGAGACAGAATAATAATCGGAGTACAGAATTAATCTTGAGTATAAATGGAAGTATTTATTTACGAAGCGAATACGTGCTCAGCATAAATTAAGCGAGAACGCGTTTATGTAAAAAAAACCCTAACACATTGAACTAAACTGCTCAAAAATGAACAGGGATAGTTTTAATTTATTATTAATTTTAATTGAATTAACCAATATATATGGTTGGATAAAACAAAATAGAAATTTCAAACCAAAAAAAAGTTAATCCTCATTTTTAATAACGGACTTAAGAATAGTAAAAATTACTAAAGTAAGAGTAAAGATTACTCATTTTGTGAACAAACACCTTTTCTCTTCTTTTCTCCGTTTTAATACAGTTGTATTTTCTTTAACCATGGAAAGACATCACCTTGGACCGGAAGTTCGCACTATTATTGTGAGAATGAGTCATTGAGATCACTGGCAAGAGGATATCGCAGAGGCAGTTGGCGTTTCTCAGAGTGAAGTCTCCCGGGGTTTAGCCCGATTCCGGCAGAATGGAAAAGCTAATAGTTGGCCTGGTAGTGATTTCAGCACATTACGACGCTAAGGGTTGACAGAAATAGTCATTGCTGCATGACGGAACCCTTTCCATAACGCCCGCCAGATCCTAAATGAAGTTCAAGATGTTTTTGCAGGGCCTTTATCAGCGCAAACGATTTGTGGGAAGTTGGCCTCACATCGTATGCCCCTTTTATACGACCTGCAGCAACAACTCGCTACCAGCAACTCATCAGAATACGGTGCAGCGAGCGTCTAGAAGAAAACACCAAGTGGAATGCTGTTATGCTTACTGATGAGTCGCGTTTCTGTCTGTAAATTGATAGCAGGCGTCAAAGTGCCTACCGAGAACAGAGGATACTTACAATGCCACAGTACGTATTCCCTTCAGTGTAGTTTGGAAGTGATGGACTCGGCTGATTTTTACACTGGAGGACCACTCATTGGCAGCGATTTTCAATTTCTGGATGACAATGACAGGCGCCATACAGACAGAGTTGTTAATCAGTGTTTATATAACCTGAGCATTTCCCATCTGCCTCTTTCCCAATAGTATGCAGACCTCTATCCCTTTTCGAAATTGGTGGATGCGTTGCCGAGATGGCTTTTTGATCACCATCCGCAGTCCGCTGATCTGCAACAACTGTGTGAAGGTTTGCAACATCTATGGAGTGAAATTCTTTATGAAATTAGTGACAACCTTATTCACAGTAAAAATAACAATAAAACAATTATACCAGAAAAGTAATTGTAAGGAAAAATTATTTTCTAGTAATTGCAAGGAAAAATTATTTTCTTAGTGTAATATTTTCAATCTTATATAATCCATATTAATATCATTGAACAAAACATCTTGTTATGATGTTTGTTGACCGACCTGCAGATAATCTATGTAGAGTTTCAATCTTCGTAGGGGTCATAAGACAGGTGAAGATATAAAATATAACGAATTGTAAAACCCGACAACTAACTGGATAAAGAAAACCGGACAAAGAGGAAATTTACTGGCATCGACAAATGTACAAATTGGTACGATCGATTCATCTGGCTAATGGCGAGATCCAGAAATAATAAGCAACCGTTGAAACTGCTTGAAATTTGCAGCCTAGTGACAGGCGTTGTTACGTAACGATAACTTATTGCTTATACTTTTTTTTGCAGTGCGTTTAATACGTATCAGATTTTGTGAAAAGTGGCAAATTCTGTCAGTATCTTTACGATAATTTACTATATATATTTCTACAAACTAGAATATTTACTACAACTTTAATTTGATTAAATGCAACGTAAGTAATTTTATTTCTTCTGTTCTTTTTGATTCGCATTATTTCTTTACAGATATTTTCATTACATATATGCTTCTTGTTAAATGAAAAACATACCGTATGACTTAACATGCAGTAAGTTAAAGTTGAAAAAAAACATAAACATTGATTTATTCATTAATAATGAATGTATTAGCGTTTAATTTAGCAAAGTATGAAAGAATCAATTTGCGGTAATTATGTTCTAGGCAATTTTAAACATTAGCAATAGCCAAACTATTCAATTTGGCCTCTTTTGGACGGGTCTTTAATTGTGTGACGAATCGAAATAAACTACAATAGAAATAAGTGATATTTTTCATTTAACTGTTAACCGGGTGTTTAAATAGGCCGTTATTGTAAATTTTTTGCTTTATTTTATATTATTTTTTAGGATTCGCAATAGCAGAGGCCATATCAACCCTGGAAGTGCCGACGATTTTGAAAAAAAGGCCATTTGTAAGCGTGTCGGGTTTGAATACAGAGCAGCTAGATTCGAACCCAGGACCTTCATCTTACAGTGATGCGCGCCGTGTCAAGGCGTAAACCATTGCGGCCACCGATTACCCCCTAGTGTAAATGAAAAATTAAGATGAATCCTTAAAGAAATATAATCGAACATTCCCTAATATCATATAAAATTCTATCTATCACAGCTAGCATATAAATATCGATCAATTCTAATTAGAAGTCTAAATAGAAAATTGTACAGAAAAATACCGCAACCTGTTCGAGCGGAAAGAAAGAACTTCATCAGGAAAAGCCCCGATAAAGAAATTGGTTCAACGGCAAATCGACTGATCGGAAAGATCATTAAACAAGATTGGTTTGTCGGTCGAAGTAGGAATTTTATCTTAACAAGCTCGCCTCAGAGGTACTGCCATTAGGATCTGTCCCTGACAACCTCTCTCACTCACCCACTCTGGCACTGTCTCTCTCTCTCCCTCTCTCTCTCTCTCTCTCTCTCTCTCACTCACTCTCTCTCTCCATGATTGTCAAGCAGTAGCTTAGTTTTATCTGATTCAATTTTAGCAATTGGCTTTGGGTTCCTGAAAAACAATAAACACCGATTCGACGAGAGCAGTTTGTAATTCACTATATATTATATAAATTAATAGTATATTTCCTGATTACGTTGGCTTTTTGCTTACTTCATCTAATGTTTTACGATTGTTGAATTATTTACAAATGCACAAAACACTACATGTCGAGGAATACTGGAAATCTGTCGGTTCAGACCTTTTGAAAATGCTATTAGGATTGTAGTGGACAAATCCTAAATTTCATTGTTTTTACAGCATTCGATTTCCATTTCCTTCTATCACTTGCAATTATTCTACGTTTGTATTTATGGTTTGAGCTGAGTTTATAAGTAATAATATACTCGTTTAGTTTAGTGAAAGAAATATTTTTCGCCTCAGAGGCTACTCTAAAGTCTAAAGTCACTACTCAATTACAATGGCACTAAAGACCGACAATGTGAGCGCTGTGGTATATACACGTAACATTAATAATTTAAATAGCAGTAATAATAATTTGATAGCACATATAGGAAGAAATGTTATATTTGGACGAAGAAGTTCAAAATGAATAAATATATTTAAAAAAATGTTTTTATGGAAAAAAAGGAAAAATCATGGTTGGTGAATAAAGTACGCCAGCGCATTGGCTTAAGTTAATCGACAAGACGCGAGGACTCAAGGGTTAAAAATAAAATAAAATTACTTCTTTTTAAATCAGATTTGATTAATTCCAACATTATTGAAAACACTTAAAAACGAGAGAAATCTAATCACAGGCGAAAATGGTATAATTCTATTGTCTTAAATACACAGGCGTAGTTAAATCAGTCCTCTAATATTCCTTAACACTCACGAATTATTCACGGATTCGGACACGATCTGGTGAAAAGTCCCGTGGGAGGAACCTTGGTAAAATTAGCGGTAAGTTTTAGGGTGAAGCGGGTAAACCACAGGGGCTGTGAATTACCAAATAAGAAGCCGGCGGACCCTAACCGGTAATTTCTTACCACGCGATAACTACACTTTTGCTATTTCTTTCCACCCTGATAAAACAGCAAATGCAATTTTCGCCGGACGATATAATCATAAAAAAACCCCACTATTTCGATTTGCAACAAAACATAATACATTAAACAATTAAACATTGTACATTTTATTAAATTCATTAGAGTTCGTGGTTCGATTGACCGAATAACGTTTTTCAATTAATTAATCTTTATGTAAGGTATTGGTTGAGAAAAAAAGTCAGTATCACTAGCGGTATTTGAACCCACGACCCTCGGCTAAATAAGCCGCTTCTCTACCACTTGAGCTATCAAAACCTCGATCCACTCGGACACCAACTTCCCATCTCAACCCCACCTTTCGAATTTTCCCTCCTGTTTTGCCATTTATCAAATGTCGTGTAATCTATTCGATTCTCGGCGACAAATGAAATGGCCACGGAGAACTTTCGTGAATACTTCATTTTACTTATTAAATTCTTTAGAAACCATTTCATTTGTGCCGAGAATCTAATCCACTAAATCTTATATAATCGTTGGTTAGCTCACTATCTACTTATCACAGACAAAAACACGGCGCTTACTTGTGTTGTCGTTCACTACATCCGTTCCGCTTTGTTTCCCTCCTGTCATTCGAACTCTGAAACAAAACGTGTCGCCTTCCAAGCACCGTCCGCGTACCCATGAAGAGGGATATTTCGGTCAAAACTTGATATATTATACTTATCATGTAACGGGTTGCTCTTGTTTAAAAATAATTTTAAAGTTTTAAACTAAGTTACTAGGTTAGGGTAAGTTTAAGAACATTTGGAGATCATCAAATACTAAGTTAATTTAAAAACATATATAAAGTTTAGGTAAATGTGTATAACAGTATTGTTTGGTTTTTTCAGACAAATAAAATGTAAAAAATTCAAGCATATGATAGAAACTTTGTCACATGTTTCAAAAAATGTGTACCTTCCGCATTTGATTTTTTATTTTAGTTATTTTTATTTGGAGATCGTGAAATGCAGTCTGGTCGGTTTAGAAAAACATTTTCTTTATTGTGCCAACGTTTCGGTCTTTATTGAAATCATCATCAGGGCCTGGGATTTATAAACATTGTTTAAGTTATGCAAATCCATGTAGGATGAGAAAAATATTAGGTGTTTAATGTCAGGCTCATGTAAGGTTTGTTTAGAAAGCTTTCCAAAAGATAGTTGTTACTCACAGTTTGTTCTTTTAAAGATATCGAGCATTAAACGATCATCATCAGATTGAAGGGGTTACAGTTTATCGACATGAATTGTAGGAATGTAATCAATCCTACACTTTCAAAAGACGTGTTTGTAATGTAACCTGATGATGAGAGTTTAATGCTCGCAATCAGGATCGTTCAAAACAACAAACTGTGAGTAAGAACAAACTTTGGGAAGGATTTGTACCCATACTCACCCTACCTGCATAATTTCTGCAATCTACCCTCTCAACACGACCCGCAAGGATGGCACAATTACACAGAAGACAAACACTTTGAGCCCTGAAGATGATCTCAATAAAAGATCGAAACGTTGGCACGATAAAGAAAATGTTTTTCTGAAACCTACATCACACCCGACCGCATCTCTCGATATCTGAATAACTATCGATTAATGGTCACAGATCTCTACACATTAATAGTTTTAGTGAAACACCTTGTTTTTTCAATCAACAATATGGCAAGTCACATCAGACATTTTAAGAAAATGGTTGTAAAATATTTGTAAATAAAAAAACAATAAAAAAAACTTTTTTTTTAATATTTGACCAATTTGCATAGCTTATTGGTGTACAAACTCGATACGTTCAAATTCATTTTTATTCATTTGTTTGCAACATGTTTTTCGTTCAAATAATTTGTTATATTTTTAAATGATATGCTATTATTCATTCTAAAAAATTACGTTATTATATAGTGCTTCCTAGGAAAGTAGTCAGCGTTGTTCATGAAATTTGGAATAATCAAACTAGATCTCTAGTACTCCTTCTTTAGCCTCATTGATTAGCACTAGAATAGAGTTCAAATGATGATGGCATGTTGATGGCTTGTCGATAAAGTAGGCCGATATTTTTACCTGCTGAGCGAGCGGATATATCGAAATATATATAAATTGTGTTCCACCTATTACAAAATCACACAAAACAATAGTTATATTATAATATTTTAGACTAGAGTTGCTTGGTTTATTTATATCCTTTTTTGTTGTCAGCAAAACATTGTGCGGTCTGGTGTGACGTAGGTTTTAGAAAACATTTTCTTTATCATGCCAACTTTTCAAACTTTATTGAAATCATCTTCAGGGCTCCAAGTGCTTATTTTCCGTGTAGATGTGTCATTCTTGTGGTCGTCGGCACTCTCAACACGACACACAAGAATGACACATCTACACGGAAAACAAATAACATGGTAGAGAAAATGTTTTACTAAAACCTACGTCACACCAGATCGCATCTCACGATCTCCAAGTAATCACTGTATTCAGTTTAAATTTAGGCATTTAAAAAAATATAATTGCTAATTAATTCATCAGATATATCCTTTCCGCCCTATTTTATTAAAAATTCCATGGATTACTGAAGGATTGTTGCTGGACCAAAGCAGTAGAAAAATCCGATCATTTCCTTTTATAGTTTTAATATTTTTAATCCGCTTTAAGGATGTAGGCCCATAGTTAAACACAGGATAGTCAAAATCTGAATATTTCACATTCCTCTAAAACCACCTCTAAAGAAAAAGGACACATTACAATTTTAGATGCTAATGATCCGTCTCACCACCTCTCGAAATGACTCACAAATTATATGTAGCTGACGGTGGGGCTTTTGTCATTCCACAGAGGCGCTACATGACGATCAAATTGGTCATCTTAATTTCAAGAGTAAACCAGCAAATTAAAACTAAAGCAAAATCATATATTCTTGTTGTCATAAAGTATGAAAATTATTCATAGTATGAAATGAAATTTTGTCATATAAGTCTAAAGTAAAATTTAGAATAACAAGTACCGACAGACTCAATATCCAATAAAAAATAGTTTGACATTTTTAATTTTCGTAGAAATATAAAAATCATGCAGAAATGTACTACTGCTTTTCATTCATTTATAAAAACAATTAAGCGATATATGTAATCAGTTAATAAAATTAATAAGAATAGATAAACCGCTTTAAAAAGCGTAATCAATGAATAAAAATCCATCATTGCAATATCATATTGACAATGCTACCGCGTATCTTTGAATGTTTGAATAGTCAGGATCGGCGAAATGGCTTTCTTTTCAGTCACTAAACTGACACAGATTGAGACCGACTGCTTCACGTTTCCCTTCCTTTCCAATTCCCATAACAGCTCCCCAAAAGATAAATTCCCCTTTGGCGTTTTGTTGTTTTTCTTATTTTCCCGGTTGAGAATTCACTGGAATGGGTAAGTCGGATGAAAATGCATTTAATGCTTCCGTGAAAATCTACAACAAGGTGCAAAAAATTGGTTAATTGTTGGTAAATAATTGACGTATTTAACTGCTAATTATGTTATGGAAATTTGAAAAACCTTGTAAGATTTAAAAAAATACAGCATAAAACTTTGTATGGATTCAGTAACCACGAGCGATTTAGCTACTTTTTCAAATAGCAAGTTAATATAAACGCTTATATAAAGTTTAGATAGAATAATTGAAATATGTATAACAGAATTGTTTTGTTTTTTAGAAAAATAAAATGTAAATAATTCATGCATATGATAGAAAGTTTGTCACATGGTTCAAAAATAAGTACCTTCTGAATTTCATTTTTTATTTTATTTTATTTTTTATTTGGAGATCGTGAAATGCGGTCGGGTGTGACGTAGGTTATAGAAAAACATTTTCTTTATCGTGCCAACGATTCGATCTTTATTGAGATCATCTCCAGAGCCTGGGATTTATAAACATTGTTTCAATTATACAAATATATGTAGGATATGAAAATAAACTTAATTTCATTGAATCTAACATTTCAAGCATTGTATAAATTCATTTTTTTCACATCCTACATGTATTTGTAAATTTTAAAGAATGTTTAGAAATCCCAGGCCCTGAAGATGATCTCATTACAAATCGAAACGTTGGAACAGTAATGAAAATGTTTTTCTAAAATCACACCAGACCCATCTCACGATCTCCAACTAATCATTAACTAACGGTCACTAAACACCACACATTTATTTATTTTATTTTTTATTGCAAAATTAACCAAACGGTATTGCTGGCAATCAATTCGATTCTGTTCAGTTTTAGGCAGACTCGAGTTTTCTAAATCAGTAAGATTTTTATTTTAACGTGGTTGTATATTTGTTAGGCCAGTTCAGAACGTATATGTCAACTGTAGAGATACTAGCCACAGTTTTAGATTTATTTGTAAACATAGTCGTTCTAAAAAGAACTAACGATATACACTATAAATTATTAAGGAATAAAACTTAGTAGTAGTAAACGGTCTCTAGTCATTTTATCCTTCTATGTCACATCCTTGTCATTTTTTGGATTGTTTTTGCGCCTGGTGGTGACCCAAGTCGAAAGGTTCAAAGGAACGTTTGTTGTTGTTTGATAACTGGATCTATGTTTCCTGTATATTTTGCATGATAATCTTTTAAATTTACCTGTATAAAAACGTACGTTTTTACTTGAACTTGGAAACAATTACACACCTGAAACAAACAAAAATTTATTTATATATTTAGAATACAATGTTTCTATTAAATGAAACAAAATTAGTTTTAATGTTTTCGATTAAAATCAACTTTTATTATTTACTTTGGGTTAGTTATGAAATATGCTGTTTATATGTTAATTGAGGAATAGTATTTCAGCATAACGTGTAGTCCACATCAAAAACCGTTTTAGTCGATGCATTCTTCAGACCTAAGACAATGTTTTTCATACGTTTTCAATCAGAATTTACCGGAATGTTTACTCCGGATTCGTTCAGTATAATGTAAAATTTAAATAAAGAAATTGCTCTCTGGTCCAGGTGGTGTTATGTGTCTAGGTAATCAGACACTAGAAAGCCTAAGTGGGCTCTGCGGTTAGTAGAAGCATAAACCATCCTTATGTGCCGCCTCCACACTCCCCATTTACATCCAGGGCTCTCCAGTGTTTTTACTAGCTGTGCGGAAGCGAGGGGTGGGCAGCCACCCCAAATTGGCCCGCCCTTATCATCCGCCCTTTTTCTTTATTTCGGGCAGCTCGTAGCTCCGGAAATAAAACAACCAAGGAAAGCTCTCCATCGACGAGTCGCAAGAAATGAATTTTAATGTTCCAATGTGTTTTACGTTACTCAAGAATGAAATGAAGGCTATCAATTGTTTTTGCCCTGTCATTTGAAAAGTGGAAATCACTATCACCCGTTAAAAAATAATTCCCAGTGAAGCGCATTTCTAGTATAGGCATTGGAACGTTGCGTGCAATTTTTTTTCTTTCACGAATTCAACGTTCACATTTATGTCCTCTAAAGCAGAAAATTCAGCACAATCTGTTTGCCACATTGACAGCGGCTTGCCCACACATCGCAAATGTACTTTCTGTGGGATGAAATTGTATGAAAGGAGGGATGATATCGACTAGGGGGCCATAATTGGTGGATGGGTAGGAAGAAATTGGAGAGTGAACCGATTGACCAGTTTTGCAAATTGGCTTCCAATTACTCAAGAATCAGATTCCCTTGAACTTCGCCATTTTACCCCGATTTCTTCCTAAACATACTTGTCAATAATTTAATTTGTAAAGATGATCGTATTATTCATTCACATAATGTAATACCAGTTCTTATTCACTTCTTACATAACGTTAAAAATCGGACTGACTCATGTCACCAATCGATAAATTTGTGCTTTATGTATTAATTAATACACTATGA